ATACAAAATCAATCAACAAACATTTAAGTGCTTACTATGGTCTAGGCATCACTGTAATAATGTAAGCAAAAAGAATAACCAACTTCCCCCTACTGAATGACGAGCAATTCCACTGACCAAGCCTGGCCCTGAAGAAGGGAAAAAAGGGTTCTGAAGAGGTGGGAATGATTACAGGTGTGGAACATTACATATGTGGTCAGATTCTGAGGATGTGTTGGCTGGTTATGTTGAACAACTTTCTCTTTGTAAAGAAGGGCTATCTGGGGCGGGGAGGTGCACAACAGGATATGAAGCTGAAACAAAACAAAATATTGAGAAGTCTGGGTATCTCAAAAGTACTGGTGTACTTTTGAAAAAAAAAAACATAAGCTCTGAGATAAATAACTGTTTCATTTTTGTCCCAGTATATGAAGTGTCTAGCACAGTGTCTGCCATATAGCAGGTACTACATAAATGTATTTGATTAACTGGGCAAATCATTTATACATGTGACATAGCTTAGGATCGATTTGGGTCCTCAGCACTTAATGCAGCACTGGACAAAGAGATAATACTTAATCAATACTACTTTATTCATTTAAAAAGTTTCAACGACTAACAATTTTGTTCAACAATTGGTTATAAATATCACAAATACTTAGAAAAAACTTATGGCACACAAAAAAGTGTCACTGAATTTCAGCCTTTTCCTTTACACTGAAATTCTCACTCATACTATCAAACGAGAAATTGGAACTATTTTATAACTGCAAAGTTCAATATAAAAGTCAGCTGTTATTTCCAGTATTTGCATGAAGGGCAGGAGCCCTGGGGTCTTATTTCCTATACCAGCATCCTCCAGCGCTTTCCCTGTAACTCTGTATTGAAGTGAAGGTGATCATCGTCACCTCAGGATGACACGAAGGAAGCTGAAAAGCAGATGAGCACGAGTCTGATGTGGAATAACAGCAAGGCCGGCCTTTTTAATGTGCATCACTGCTGAACAACAGGAGCCCCTCACATGGAGGGAGTAAATGTTTGACCAGACTATTCTGTCCCCTGCTCAGAAGGACCTGAAGTACAGCTCCACCTTACACTGCTAACATTAAATCCAAATCAAGAGAGAAGTCAAAGATTACAAGGCTATATTCCAAGGCACCTTCAACTCTCTCAAATGGGCACTTACTCCCTCCCAAGGAAACTGAACTGACCCAACAGTAACTGCAATTACCTGCAGGACCCATCAATCAACATGTAAATTTCTTAGGGACCTACCAGATGCCAAGCACTGGGCTAGACCCTGGGGATACAAGTACGAAAACTGAAACAATACTTACTCACAAGAAGCTTACATTCTAATAAGGGGAGAGAGGTACATAGAAATATATGTACATGGGTAGCAGACAGACGGACACACACATACAGTACATACACATATAGTACAAATATAAAGTGAATAAATACAAATATATCATACTCACACACAAAGTAGCTAAATACATGACAGTTTAGGAGGGAGGGTACTAGCAGCTGGGAGGATCAGGAAAGATGTCATGCAGAAGATGGTGTCTAAGCTGTCTTTGTTTTTTTTTAATAATTTATTTGTTTTTAGTTTTCAGCATTCACTTCCATAAGATTTGTGTGTGTGTGTGTGTGTGTGTGTGTGTGTGTGTTTATGTGTGTGAGGCAATTGAGGTTAAGTGACTTGCCCAGAGTCACACAGCTAGTGTTATGTATCTAAGGCTGGATTTGAACTCAAGTCCTCCTGACTCCAGGGTCAGTGCTCTATCAACTGCACCACCTAGCTGCCCTGAAATAAGATTTTGAGTTTTAAATTTTCTCCCCCTCCCTCCCCAAGATGGCGTACAATCTGATATAGGCTCTACTTATACGTTCCTATTGAACATATTTTCACATTAGTCATGATGTAAAGAAGAATTAGGACTAATGGGAGGAAACATGAGAAAGAAACAAAACAAAACAAAACCAAAAAAAAGAGAGCAAATAGTCTGCTTCAATTGCATTCAGACTCCACAGTTCTTTCTCTGGATGTAGACAGCATTTTCCAACGTGTCTTTTGGAGTTGTCTTAGATCCTTTAAGCTGTCTATCTTAAAGAAGAAAGGGAGTCTTTGGGGTAGAAGTAAGGAGGCAGAGTATTTCAGGCACGGAGAACCACCATGCCCAGACGCCCAGGCACAGGAGAAGGGGTCTTGTGGGTGAGGACCAGAGAGAATGAGTGAACATTAGACCTGGGAAGCAGTGTCCAAAGGGACTTAGAAAGATGAGGCTGGGCCCAGTTATGTAGGGCTTTAGAAGTTAAACAGAGAAGTTTATATTTTATTCTTGAGGCAATGGAAATCACTGGGGAGTCCCCTATGAATCCAATCTGGGCTTAAGGAAAATGACCGGTAGCAGCGTGTAGGATAGACCGGAGCTGGAAGAGCCTTGGGGCTGAAAGACCAATTAGCAGGCCGTGGCAGTACTCTAGATGACAGGTGATAAGACCATGAAGCAATGGGGCAGCTGTGCGAATGAAGAAGACAACACGGAGGAAAAACGCTGCAAAGGTGGATCAGCAAGACCTGACAACTGACTACGTGGAGTTAGGATTACAATGGGAGATTCTGAACCAGAGATGCTGGGGCTGCTGACAGAGCCATAGTGACATGGTGTACATTGAGAATGTTTTCACATAATAAAATTAGAGTTAAGAAGCATCCTAGGAAACTTTAGCAAAATGCAAAAAATCTTTGGCTACATACATTGTATTTAAACTTTCAAAAAAAAAAAAAACCCAACCCAAAACCTGGAGTACGAACTCCAAAAAACAAATTCTTCAGACACTTCGATGGGACTCTACGAAAGAGTATATATTGGAGTTCCTAAAAGTCCAGGAGCAATTACCCGAGACAATAAGAGAAACAGAATGGTTTAAAACAGTCGCTAATTTTAAGTATGACAGTTTTTAGGCTCCATCCAATAACAATTCATAAACACATTCATGCTATGCAGTGGCCTGCCCCATGCCCAGTCTAATTGCTGGCGATCTAGAATACAAATGAGCAGGACATAGGGAGGGAAGCCTTAGACTGCAAGACATTTCACTTCACTAAGCTTCACGAGGGCGTCTCATTCATTTTTGTTTCCCCAGAGTGCCTACTTATGTAGCGGACAGTCAAATGTTTCAACATCCACCTAATGGATTGGTTTTCTAATCCAAACCCTACGTAACCTCACCTCTTACATGCACCCAACAATTTATCAACTATTACAAGATAAATATAGGCCACTATAAGCGGATCCTCAAAGATTAACTTTTGGTGGGGAACAGGAAACACTCCCCTCCTTAAACAGGACTCATGCCATAGAGAACCCATTCAACAGCCATAACTCAAGTTTCTAGGTTGCCGAAAGGCTGGCACTATTTTTTGTACTTTATCCCATGTAATTGAAGAAAAAAAGCAGATTATTAAATAAAAATTTGAAATCTAGTCAGACATTCTGAGTTGCAAGAGTTGATTTAGAATTTCTCAAACTCATTCAATATTGCTATACTTTGTATTCTTTCAGGTTGTGTCTAGGAAATGAGTAACAAAATCAGGATTTCAAATGCAAAAGGTCTCTTACAGTTGTCAACCATAAGAGAATTGAATCCACACAAATTTGCTTCACTTTTTTCTAAGAGAAAGATTACTAGGAAAGATAATGTAGGACTTACCAAAATGGGACTCCTTACCTAAAATGGTTGAATAAATAACAAAAACACCAAGAACTCCTTTAATCCACAATTTGCTACTTGGGTTCAAGTTTATGTTCCCTAAGAAAATCAATTCTTAGATTATATTATTAATTTGTACCAATGAGGCGACTGTAGGTCAAGTTTAAAACACTGAGTAGAACTTTCCAAGAACATTTACATGCAGAACAACACTAATGCCAAATTCAACCTACTAAGCAAAACAGGTTTGCCCAGAAGGCCTCTATTAGCGGCCAGCAGCAAGAGTGTGAATGCAGACAAAGCTGTGAAAAGTTACAGAACTCCATTTTTGGACAAAATATCCCCAAATTCATAGTAACCTCTCTCCAGTTACTACAAATTAGAGAAGTCGTCTGCATGCTGTTACTCTTAACTGCCCTTCCACCACAATGAAATATTGAAAAAGAAACCATAGACCTGCCCTTTGGACATCAACACACCAATGTACAACATGATGGAGCTTTGCTGAAGGTAGACTTTTGTAAATCAAGCCTGCTGGGGACAGCCCTACCCTCCCACTGCAAAGATGACATTTCAAAAGTCTTTCCACACCTCCATTCTGGCAGAACAATCATCACACAAGTTTATAAAAAAAAAAAAAAAATCTGCAGCTAAACTCGGTAGCCTCTCCCACCTGCTGCCATTTGTTGTTGGTTTCAAAGGATAACCCAGGGCAAGGAAACACTGCCGCGCAGGCAACAAAACAATGAAACATGAGCCATCGCGTCCAATTTTAAAAATGTTCTGTGACCTGATATCAGAATAGCCTTAAAAAGCCCAAACACACAATGAACCACAGCGCTTTTTTGGCTCATCCATTCTCCATACACACTCTTGAGGGCAAGTCTCCTTTGGGAGTGGAGGCTCAACTCTTGGCCTGGGATTTCCCAACAATGACAATTGAGCTTGGCGGAGGAAGCTAGCGCTCAGACTGGAAACTCTACCAAAGGACCCACAACTCAACCTTTTGCCTGTGAGGTGCCAATGAGCAATCTCTTTCCAGCCCCTGTGCTGTAAACCAAAAATCAGAGGCAAATCCTGCACATGGAGAATCCTGCCCGGGTGAAGCGGGCACAGTGGTGCCTACCGACAAAAGTGAAGGAGTCAGCAGAGTTTTCCAAGGTCTCTGTACTTAAGATCTTCCTTCTGCTCTGCTCCCCTCACAGCAGCAGAGGTCAAACGGAAGGGTTAGCACAATTATCAACAACCTTCGCAATTACGACAATGGCCTAAAGTGACCGAGGATGTGGTCTGTGACTTACCGGCCACACTAGTGATTGTCACTGGAACTCCCTGCACCTGGACACCTGCAGCCCCCAGGTTGGCCACGCTCACCGTCTGAAGGTTAGGCACGGATGCAAGCTGGGCAGTGTTCAACGTTATTGGGGCCCCAGCCACTGCCACTGGGGCAATCTGGGCCAGAGCTGTGCCACCACTTGAAGACACTGGGGTGATGGTGAGTTGTTGGGGTAACCCAGCATTTTGAACTTGCAAATTGGGAAGGCTCTGAATATTCTGAACCTGCACAGTTTGCCAACTGATCTGCCCTGACGGGGTTAAGGTCGGTGCTCTGATTAGCACCTGAGTTGGACTTACAGCCTGAAGCTGGACATTCTGCAAAGGCTGCTGCTGGATGGTCTGCAGGGTCTGTCCTGACTGGAGCTGAAATGACTGGGGTGGTATGGCCTGAATAATCTGCTGCTGAGGCTGCTGGATCTGGATCTGCTGCAAGATGGGCTGGCCTACAATCTGCACTTGCTGGAGGGAGCTGGCCTGCTCCTGCTGCGGGGCATTCTGAAGGCCGTTGGGCTGGAGCTGACCAGAGTTCTGGGCTTCAGCTTCCGGGGCAGGGGTCTGAGATTCTTCAAGGGCCCTTTCTGAAGCGCCCGCAGCAGCTGAGGCGCTCACATACTGGCCCGCGTCCACCGAGCTCACTAACGGGTCGCTGCTCGTCAGAGTTGTCGAGGCAGTGGACGTGCAGGTGGTGGAGGAGGACGAGGGGGACTCGGGCATAGCGCTGCTAGCAGAGGCAGTGGTGGTGGGCGGGGTGGGGGTAGGGGTGGACACTAACTGATTCCCATTGGACGTTCCCCCATCAGCAGCAGACTGGCCGATCTGCCCGGGGCCTCCTCCAGCAGCCACATTGTTGATCACAGGCAAAGCTAGAGTCACTCCTCCAATGTTGATGGGTAAAGTTGTCACAACTTGAGCCTGAGTGCCTGGAATTGTCTGTAACTGCAATGGTATGGAGACCCCAGGCCGAATTTGGACTGGGACCGTCTGATTTGCCAGGTTTTGGGCAAGAATATTCCCAGAAGCTGTCCTGTTTGCAGCTGTGAGGATAGCTTGATTATTACCTGCAGGAATGAGCTGGATTTGACCCTGCAAATCCTGCAGAGACGCAGCACCGCCTGGGTTGATCTGGATCTGCTGGCCCTCCACGGCCTGCAGCTGTGGTATCACTTGGTACTGGACGTTCCCACCGGGGTTCTGTACCTGGATGACTTGAAACTGACCCGAGGCGGAAGGCTGGCCGGGCTTGGCCTTGGTCGGGGAGCTGCCCTCATTGGTGCTGCTGGACGAGCTGGCCGAACTCGAGGCTGCCTGGGAGACATTATTTTCCTTCGAAGAGGGAGGGGTAGCGGTGACCAGTTGCCAAGCATTTCCCGCGAGTTGCGTGGTCACCAGCTCCAGCTGCTGGGGCTGGTTCTGAAGCTGTACCAGCCCCTGGCTCGGGTCGATGATGATCTGCTGCTGCCCGGAGGCTTGATTTTCACCCGGAGTTCCTATCTTGCTGCAAGTGGCTGCCAGGAGAGCCAGAGGAGAAGGCTGAGAGTCCTGCCCACAGAGGGGATGGGAAAAAAGGGGCGGGTTTAGTGGAAGCCACCGGGGGGGAGTTGGTTTTTTTTTTTTTTTACAGTTCTAAATATCAAAACTTACCCAGGAAGTGGCAGAAATCAAAGAGTGCTTTGAACCAAAAAAACAAAAAACAAAAAACCAGTTAAGAGACCTGAGAAGCCCGAGTGAGGAAGTGGGACCTTCTGTGACCCAAGCTTTAACTATAAGGGTCAAGCACTGGAAAGTTTTCTGAGGCCAGGATAGATGACTTTAAAAAAAGAAAAAAAAAACCAAAAAACTCGGAGGAGGGGAGAATCTCCCTTCAGGTCTCCTAGATAACAGTTTTTAAACCATCCCCCAGAGCCTGGAGCCTGCAGGTCCTTTAGCAGGTAAAGCATTTACCAGCGGGCCCCCACCCCGCCCCCACACCCAGGGGGACAAGCTTCCAATGCCCTTCCCGCAGCAGGCAGTAGCTTCCCCTTCCCCAAGGAGCTGGGGGGGGGGCGGGGCAGGGAAGCTTTACCTGGGAACCGGCGGCTTTGGCTTTTTTATTGTTGTTCTCCGGCTCTGAAGTCTTCCCTGCTTCGGGGGCCATGGCAGCCCCGGCAGCTGCCCCAGCCACTGCCGCTGTGGGGGGGACCTCGTCCTCCTCCTCCTTCTTCTGATCTGCAAGAGCCCCCACCCCGCCTGGTTAGTGGGGAGCTTGCCCTGGAACTCCCTCCCTCGCCCAGTGACTGGGGCTCACTCTAGGGGTGGGGTCACTCCCTCGGCCCCCCGCGGTTCTTGGGGTTCATCACGCGGGTGAAGTCCCTCCTTCGGCCCCCCGCGGTTCTTGGGGTCCATTCTGGAGATGGGGTATCCCCACTCAGCCTCCTGCCGGTCTACTGGGGTTCATCCTGGGGGCGGGGGCCCCTCCCTCGGCCCCCCGCGGCTGTCGGGGCCCATCTCGGGGACGGGTCCCTCCCTCGGCCCCCCGCCGCCGGTCTCCTGGGGCTCATCGTGGGGGCGGGGGGGGGCCGGGGTCCCTCGCCCCCTCCCTCCCCGGGGCGGGCGGCGGCACAGGGCCGGGCAGGCGGGCCCGGCCGGCGGGGAGGAGGGCCGAGTGCTCGGAACGTGGTTGGAAACCCGACCCCTCGGCTCCAGAGCAACACCCAGAAGGCGGCGGCAGCCGGGCTCCGCGGCGGAGACAAAACCCGGGCGGCCCGCCCCGCGCGGGCCGCCGCCGCCCCCGGCCCCTCCTCCGCCTCCTCCCCCTGGAGCATCCCGGCCCGGCCCGCCCGGCCCGGCCCGGCCCGGCCCGCCGAACGTACCGCTCATCCCGCATTCACGGCGCGGCCCGAGGGCGGGCAGGCGGGCGGGGGCCGGGGCCGGGGCGGGGCGGGGAGGAGAGGGCCGGGCGGGCCGGGCCGGGCGCCCGCCCGCGGGAGGAGGAGGAGGAGGAGGAGGAGGAGGAGGAGGAGGAGGCGGAGGCGGCGGCGGACGAGGAGGAGGAGGAGGAGGAGGAGGAGGAGAGGGAGGAGGCGGCGGCTCCCGAGGCTGCGGCGGCTCCGGCCCGCCCGGCCCGGCCCGGCTTTGGGCGCAGGGCCGCCGCGGGGCTGTGGCGTAGCAGATCCTCTCTCCGCCCGGGCCCCGCGGACTCGCGCCTGATTGACAGCGGCGGCGGCGGCGGCGGGGGCGCGGGGAGCCGGCGGGGCCGAGCGGGGGCGGGGCCGACGCGGGGCGGGGCCGCGCGCAGAGCCCTCCCGTTCCTCCCCCGCCCCTCCCTGCTCCCCGAGGTCACCGCCCAGGCCCCGCCCCCGGCGAGCCGATTGGCCGTCGCTGCGCGCCCGCTTCCCCCCCCGCCCTACCCCGCGCCTCGTTTTCGCTCTCGCGCTCGGCCTTCTTTCTCTGCCGTCGGCCTAGCTCTGGACCCTGGCCTGCCTGCTGCTCTGCGCGAGCTCTCTGCTCCGCGGCCTCACGTCCCAGCGGGGCCCGCCGCGGGAGAATAGACAGTCACACACCTCTCCGAGCCGGGGAGAAAGCGAAGGGCCCCGCCCCGCGCCGCTCCGGCAGCTGAGGGCCCCGCCCCCGCCAGCACCGAGCGAGCGTGGCTCCCGCAGGCACCACCCGCCTCAGCCGCCTCTTTCTCCTAGCGGGCTCGCTATTGGCCGAGACCCAAGTGACGCGCTCTGATTGGCGAGGGAGGGAGGGCGTAGCGGAGGGGGCCGGCGCGAGGCGTACCGGCCGTTGTCATGCAGTAACGGCTCGTGACGGCAGCGGGGAAAGGCCGCGCGCGCTCAGGAGGGAACGCGCCCAGGGGCGCGCGCGCGCTCAGGAGGGGGCGACGGCCGAGCCGGCCGGGCCAGGCGGGATCGCACGCACGCACGCCGCTGCCGCCGCGCGCCCGGGAGCGCGAGCGGGGGGCGGGGCGGGCACGAGCGGGC